AAACTGTATCAATTTAATATATTCATAATTTTATTATTTTACTTTATACAAAATTGTATATAAGTATAATGCACCAGTATAAGTTAAACAGGAAAAACAAGGCACATGATGCCCTTCTCTGAGGGCCTGAGCTATTCCTCTCCAGGCTGCTAATGCGCTTTGTAACACTCTACAATGACCATGAAGAAATTAGTTTAAAAGTTGCATTTACTTTCTTCACATAAGAGAAATGGTTCAATTAATGAAATAAGTATTACAGCTGAAATACTTAAGTGATTTCTCCCTAAAGGAATGAATGGCTCATTCACAACTCAGTACAAAGACATGGTCTCTCCTCTCTGGATACAAACACTGGAATCATACAGAAAGGTTTTCCAGTTTCTAGGTTATTAGTTTGATTTCTTGCGCAAACACTAATTGACTCAATTGCATTGAAAGATTTGAACTATTTCGTACTTGATCTGTTCAGCAGAGCCTCCTGATGTTGCATTTGTGATTGCCCAAGCAGCTTCCTTCCTTGTCCGAAACTCAGCCGTTTGCAAAATATTTATAAGAGCTGGAAAGATATGGGCATCTATGACTGTCTGCAAAAAGAAATAACATGTCAGGGTTATAATAAAAATTAGAAGTAACTTCCTTGTCCTGAGCTAGTTAATGTCTATGCTTAGCACAACACATTAAACAAGGAAACGTTAACTTATCAAGGGGCAAAAATCAGCTTTCAGCTTTACACTCAAACCCTAGGTATCACTGGGGTCTGTGCTTATTCCAAAAGAATTCAAAATACGGCCAGATGGAAGTCACTGCCATATCTAATGTGTTACTTAATCATACCTTGACAGCACGAGAATGCCATACTTCCCTTATTTTCCCAGGTAGTGAACCACTCAGCTATTAAGTCAGTAAACCACTAAGTCATTAAGATCCCCTAAACAGAGAAAAAGACTTCATAAGCCTGTGTGTCATACGACATTTCCATTGGGTGAGACAACAGAGCAAAGAGAGAATGTATTGTAAGAACTCCTCAAAACAAGCAAGCACCAGTGTATTCTTTCCTGGTGAAAAGACAAAGCAACGAATGGTTCGGTAGTATGGTTAACTGCTTAGCTCACCAAACTGATATAAGTCAAATAAGTATTTAGTCAGCAGCTCAAAGTGTCTAGTAACTTCCGCTGGAAAGAGCCTTTTGCAATAAGACACAAATGAAACCAGTTTAGTTAAACACATATGACAAGGATCTGAAACACTTTCATAAGGATCGTTCAAAGAAGCAAGAGCTTAGGATTACATTTTTAAACTACTTTTTACAAACGTAAGTCATGACAGAACTGGTAAAGGCAAATTCAAAGAAAGCCAAAGAGATCCTTCTCAAGGAGCTCCGCAGAAGAAAACTAACAGATTACATAAGCAAAAAGCTATAGTCAGTTCATGGTGTGGATGGTTACCCAGTGAAGAAAAACAACTGGTATTTGGTATTTCTTTTACCCTTCCTGTTTGTCTGGGCATCCACACTGCATCTACTTTGTAAATCCATACTGCGTATCAGTTGTATCAAAAGTCCTACGAACACTGTCTCCTTTACCACAGAATCTGCACTCCTAGTACAGCAGTCTGGAGCCCTCAAGGAAAACCACTTACGCTTCCATCATGCCATGTTATGTTAGATCTGTTCTTTGCAAAGAATATTTAGCAAGAAGTCCTTAACTGCAATGTTTGAACATGAATGCTGGAAGTGGTAGGTCATAAACAGGAGCCAGCTATTTTAAAAAAAGACAAAAGGTAAAAGAAAATATCTTCAAAAAACAGGATGCATTTCCCCCCGACATATTTTGCTGGGGAAAAAACCGTAATTTTTAAAAATATACAAAAGCAACACACTGTAAGGGTACATGGAACACGAGAGCATCTGCTTCGTTAAGGTTATAGATCAAGGACCTTTTCATCTCAAAGGGAGGTATAAATAACAGGAAAGTAATAAATAAAACACACCGTGACACAAACCTGATAGACAAGGGATAAGAGAGACAATCACAAAGAGAGAAAGTCTCCAGCCACTAATTAATGGGCCATTAAGAAACTACAGCCTGGACTTTGTAACTGATAAGACAGGGACAAGCGGGACTGTGCAAAACTTAGTAACAAATCTTTTCTTAACTGTCTTACCACGCAACCTCCCTCTCTAGCCTGCATGAGTGCTGTAAAAATTAGGTGCTAGCAACTCAGACCAGCGTGAGTGAATTTGGGCGAGGAACTAAATCAGACCTCAGGAGAAACCCCTGTGTCTCTGGGGCCAGCAACTGGGCGAGTGGGGCTCTCACCATCAGTAGCTGGAGGGGGCCATGGACTAGGAAGCATGTTTCTGGGGTGCCCAGAAAGGGTGAATTCAGGGCCAGCAACTGGTGTCAGACCTTGGGTGAAGGGGCCCCTGCAACTGGAGCAGGTGAGGGGTCCCAGCATCAGCCAGTGGGGCAGGGTCACAGTCCACAGGGTGCATGTGGCTGGATGCCAGCTATGCGGGGGACTGGGGTGAAGTTGAGGGAGGGTCTCAGCACCTCAGCTGGAGTGGGACTGCAGGTCACAGGACCCATGTGCCTGGGCACCAGCTCCATGGGGTGAGGGGATTTGCATTTTCACCAAATGTGGTGGTGGGAGTGGAGGAGCACGGTATAGATAATTTGCTGGCGAACTTCAAGCTGGACTAGATGGCAAGCAGGAGGACCAGTGCTGATATTGAAGGCATCTGCAATTGTGGGGATGCTTGAGACAAATGTGTGCATCTGTTTGCTAGCAAGTATCAAGCTGGACTAGCCCGTGAGTAGGAGACAAGTACAGTGAGTTAAGAGAGCTCAGGATCCAGGCATGAACAGTAGACGGGCAGAGAGCCCACACTGATATTCAAGAGATCTGTGAATGTGTGTGTGCGCTTGTAGATCTAGAGAGTGAGGGCATGCATGTTTTCACTAATGAACTTCAGTCCTGATCAGCTGGAGAGATGCAAAGGGACTTGGCAGTCTACACTTATGTTTTATGTGAGTCCAGGTAGTGCTATACAAGGGTGTTGTTGAGATAGAAGCCCTTGTAAGAACAGTGCACTAAGGGATGTTAAGTATTCTCCACCAAAAGAGCTTGATATAGATCTAGGATAGGATACATAAGAGAATTCCAGAACAAAGGGAACTAGCAATGGGAGGGCAGCAAGTGGGAGAATCACAAAAGATTGTTATTGTTTTCCTTCTGGCTCAATCAACTCTTTGCTTCAATGCAAAGACTGGTGGGTAGTCACTCCACACTTCTCAGAGTGGAGAAATGTACATTTGAACCTTTTCAGAAGGAACTGAATCCAGATCTCGCATCTCTTGGGTATTTCTATTTATTTCTATTTCTTGTTCTGTTGTATAAAAGGCTGTGGCCACCTTGTTTACTCTCTGCTCTACAGTGAAGCTGGCTATCTTTACCCAAGCAGAACAGGTTAAAACACCACGATGAATTGCAGCCTCTCATAAGGCACTTCACTGAAAGAGGCTGGCTCAAGAGAGAAGCAGATTATCAGTCACTATACTTCTACGTTTCCTACTGCTTGACATGCAATATAAGTGTTGTCACCACCTCACCCTAGCGTGAGACCCAGTTAAAGGTACTTAACTGTCCCTCTGTAGTACAGCAAAGTTTTTCAACTAGCAGTCTGTTGACAGTTGAAACTCTCAGAGCTTAGATTTTTTTTTAAAAATGCATTAACTAGGTCAGAAAAACGTTTGCTTTAACCTTAATTCCTTCACTAGATTTCAAAAGTCCAGTTAAGCTCAACAAAGGTGGAAATAATAAAGCATTAATACAGAGAAAGTGCTAGCAGAATCTATTATTTACACCCCATGTCTTGCAGCAGCCTTGCCCATAGGAGTTACTCTTGAAAGCAAACTAGAATGCCTAAGGATTCCTAGCTCTATGACATTTTACATGGGAACAACAGTTATTGTGGAAACAGACTATGTTTCCCTTTCAATTAAATTCCTCCTAAGTGATAAAATAGTAAACTACTGAAATAGAATTTGTACAAACTACTGCAAATCTTTCTCTTTGTCACCTGTTCAAATGTTCCACTATTCCTCGAAAAACAAAGTGCCTTGGCTGTTCATGAAAACAGCGGGCAACTGCCTCATACATACCATAAAGTGAAGGATGTTTAAACATTCTTTCTGAGCTGCTGATGCATTTTAGCGCTTGTGTTTATCTGTGCCCTCTAAATGTGACCAGAATTTTTCAAGCAGTATAACAGCAGGCCAACAGGGTAACCGAAACTTAAAGAAACACTCCAAAACCTGTATCGTTTTACATGGATTTTTCCAATCCAAATTACTCTTGTGCTTGCATGTAACAACAAAACATACTAACACCCTGTTTCCAACAGCAATCAACATCAGATGCACAGAAAGTGTAAACTCTAGTCATGTTTATTTTTCTTTTTCTCCTTTTTAAGTATTCACAGTTGCAGCAGAGAATTCCAGTGTGACTACACCTGTATAAGAAGAAATGTTCTCATTTGTCCTAAATGCAACACCTAGTAATTTCTGATGCCTCTTCCTTTGAGGATCTTGCTCAAAAACAAAGAACAATCGTTCCTCATTCACCTTCTCAGATGCTACTTGTGTTTCTACAGCATTCTGCCACATCTTCCTTCACTTGTCTCATAGTCCACGAAGTTATTCCTCTCATAGAATCCAGCTGACATTTTATGGTCCCTCCTTACCACCCACTCCTACCATATCATCTGAAGATGGATCTACATACAGGGCAACATTGAAGATTTATACCAGAACAAGAATAAGGATTGCCCCCTTTTTTTTTTTTTATCCTTTTCCTGATGATTTCTAATATTCACATTGGTTTTAGACTGCTACTATTAGGCACTGAGGTGGTATCTTCGAAATAGATTAGAAATCTCTTTTCTGCATAATAGGTAATCCAGAGCCCATCCTTTAATACATTAAACTAACATGGAAATTTTTGCCCAGCTGCATCCATTTACATTTGTTGGAACTGAACTCCATCTTGACTTGTAACTACAAGTTTTTCAGAAAACTAAAATTGAATTTTAGTTGAAATCTGAATTTTCAAATTTAATTTGAAATTGAACTGAATTGTAATGCTCAGTCCTTCAGCAAATCTGGCCCTCAATTTTGGAGTGACAACTTTTTTGTGTTTGTGTTTTTTGTTTTTGTTTTTGTTTTTAAATAGACGGTATCCCTGTGCAGTGGCCATCCAAGAGAGTTGCCTGTCTCTTGGAAACATTCTATCCTTCTTATTTATTTTAATCAAGCTTCTTCACTTTACAGTGTTTGATTTTTAAAGAGAGAAGCTAGATAAAAGTGAATTTTCAGAGTTTTATTATGTCTGCATGGACGCTGAATCTAAATACATTGTAGTCATTGTTAGGGAGCAGGTCTTCAGCAGCAGTATATTAAATTAGTATTTTGAGCTGGTCAATACCAAGTGAATTTGCTTCTCCTCCTTTGGATTCCCACAAATAAATCACTTATGGTATGCAAAAATACACATATACGTTTAGTAAGCAAGTGTTGGCATCATG